ACTACACAACCTTCTCACATTAATTTTTCTTCGAGCGTTTTGGGGGGCCAAAAGATATGTTGGCCCCCTCTTTTAGGCTTTTTGGGCCCATGGCCCCGGTGGCCCCCTTGAATCCGCCAGTGGGGGCGGTGCCCCCACAACTTTAAAACGGAATACCGTCCTTTTTTGCAACTGTTTCTTTTTTTTTTGTTGAAAAAGCCAAGGGATGAAAAATAAGTGGCCTAAAACCGGTGAGAAAACTAGATTTGGGGGGACCCTAGGTTGATCTCTATTATGGTGTGCTCCCCCAGTCTGAAAGTAGTTCCCGCGCCCCTGACTTTCTCTACGCTATTGAATCACGCTGCTGATTCTAGTAGGTATCTACTACGCAACCTTCTCACATTAATTTTTCTCCAAGCGTTTTGGGGGGGCCAAAAGATATGTTGGCCCCCCTTTCAGGCTTTTGGGGGGGGGCCATGGCCCCGGTGGCCCCCCCCTGGATCCGCCAGTGATCCAAGCACTAAGTTCTGCAAGTTTTAAGTCATCGGATCCATTGTTCTCCACAACACCCGGCCTTATCTCGAGCTGCATCCGTCAATGAGTCGAACAGAATTATATAATGAAACTTCGGTGAGTGTCTCGAATGAGCAGCTTTATTGAAGAACACACCTGCTATCATAACGCCTAAAGCTCATCACGTGCACTCATCAGACGGTCTTCACATGCGCGATTGGATTTTATGGCAACATTTCTGACACGATATTGCAAACTTTATGCCTCCTTGTTTGTCATTAGGCTTTGCTGCAGCATATGAAAAAGCTTACATCGCTGCCTGTTTGCTGCCAGCGTGTGTTGTTAGTGTACTGTTAACGCCAGACCCCTTGAGACCCTAATTTTTCGCGATTACTTTTAAATGCGTGAAGGAATTTCAACCAAGCTCAGGACATGGCCGTTTCAAGACAGGCCGAAACTTTTACAATTTAGATATTTTATCGCCATTTCAATATTTCAGGCACTTGTCATTGACTCGTAATGTTAAATTTCGAGCAAGATTTTCATCCGGTGTGTAGAGGCTATCACCAGTCAGCCTGTGATACGTTATGACGTCACAGCTAAGCCCCGCCTCTGTGGTCTTGGCCTGCGGCGGTTTCGGGCCGACGCGCGGTCACTCTCGCTGTGGCGGGGAGCGGGGACGGGCGACGGTCGAGCGGTGCCGAAAGCCGGCGGAGTTGTGCGTAGCGTCTTGGCTGACAGTGCCCAGAGAGCGACATGATGACTAAGGAGTCATAAATGCTCAATGCGCATTGCTTCTACAATGCTGATATGTTCGCTGATATATTTTTTCTTTTTTATAAGCTGCAAATGACGGGCAGATGGCATATAACTGACATAAGGTTAGGAAATATTCACCTGTATTTAAAGCCTATGGCGTTGCAGATAATGCGATAATGGGATGTCGGATGTCACCAAGTAGCTGCCGATTTGTACATCGCTATGCAACCATCGAACAACGCAATAATAAGTTAATTGCCTGAGCTTCACATCATACGGCTCGCTCGTATTTCAAACAGATACCCTACATCGAAAATCGTATTTGTTAGGAATCGTTAACGTTTGTTCGAAGCACGACTGAGTAGTAGGTTGAGGAGTGATGGTCCTCTTGGTCCTATATACAAGAGTCAACAAGAGCCTAACATTTACTTGACCGTCTGCTGCAATTGACTCATAGTGAAGCGTCAGCGAAATTCATAGTCCTTCACAGATGGCAGGGGTGTCGTTTGTACAGAGGTCGCTGATGGGCACGGGTCAATGCCGCAGTCGTGGGCGGAGCCTAATGTCATATGACGTAGAAAGCCTCTATCCAGGATGGAAAAACAGTTAACATTACGAGTCAATGACAAGTGCCTGAAATATTGAAATGGCGATAAAATATCTAAATTGTAAAAGTTTCGGCCTGTCTTGAAACGGCCATGTCCTGAGCTTGGTTGAAATTCCTTCACGCATTTAAAAGTAATCGCGAAAAATTAGGGTCTCAAGGGGTCTGGCGTTAACAGTAGGTCACGTTAGCCTTCGCCCGAGTGGGGGTTTTTGGCCACACCTTCCAGTTTTTTGCGTGTGTAAAGAAAACCGCGGCGAGCAGCGCCGCGAAACTTGGTATAGCATATGATACATCAATTTCGCATCGTTTGTCAAATTAATTTTTGACCCCAGGTCACATGAGGTCAGGTCACCACTACCAGAAAGTTAAGTGGCCATGCCTAAAAAAAGTTGTGTGATTCATTCATTCATACAGCTTACAACCCAGAAGTTTGAAACTTGGGCTATTGCATGAGGAAATCAGTACCAACAATTTGTATATCTCCGAATTTTGATATCGGTGACCTAAGGTCAGGTAAAATGACCTGTATAATTCTGAACGATCTTATAGCGAACTATCTATTGCTTTTTCACCGCGTCCTTTTAGCTTGCTTACTTTCCGTGATAGCATGGTGCGGCCTAAAAGCCCCCCCCCCCGACCCACCCCCACTACGGCGAAGTTGACTGAGAGGTCCACCTGGGCGCGGATTAGGTGCGCGGTACTACCAATCGTGGAACAAAACATTCAGCATGTGTGTTAACACACGTTTGTGCATTCATTGTGCACGCATAGCAGGATTTTTTTTTAGTCACCAGCATGTGTATTCAAACAGTCTGCACAGCGTTACGCATTGCGTTTTTTTTTCTTCCTCAAATTGAAGTAAGATAATTATCCTACACACACACCAGAAATTAGACGGATCAAATTGCTGATGAATTGACCGTGGGCACTGGGCAGGTTGGTGCCACCGTTGCAAGCAGCGGCTCGTTTTGGAAAGTCGCCGCATGAGCATAGCCACGAGATTATAAGAAACGAACTTTGGTACTTAACTTTGAAAACAGAGTTTTTAGGATCTTGCACTTCAAAAAATACGCTCTCTGTTTTTTTATTAATGTATCGATTCTGCTCTCATTGAATTAATTCATTCATTGTCATTTAATCACATTATTTAATGTCGTCTCGTCTTTTCGTACTCACATCATGCACCATTTCCTTTTATTATTTCACTTAAATGGTTTTCAGTGATATAAATGTATATCGTCATTCACTGCTTCGCCTAACATTTTCGGCCTTGCGGTTTATCGTTTTACCGTAACACTTATATTTGTACTTGCATTTACGTATTTTCGTCAGCTGACAGTCCACAACAGGGTGGCTATTACACGTTAATAGTCAGTGAATAAAACGGTTGCAGGAAAGTCAATATGGTTACACAATACACAATACACAAGTAAACGGCAAAACACAACAATCAGTTACCGCAACAACACACACCACCAACAAACACACACATATACTCCAAATAAAATAAACGTTTCGCCGCCTGTTAAAAAGGTGCACTAGCTCGAATCGTGTCATGCCAGTTGCCACACAGGCATTTCTTAGAAGCGAGGCTGCTCGGTATGCAAACCCTCGCTGCCGCCCGCCGCAGTGCTGTTCTTGTCGCTGGCAGGCGCAGGTTACGCTCCTGCCTGCTGGAGTGATTACACTGCCTTGAATGGAGGACACTAACATGCAGCGAGCTCCTCAGGCTCGCCCAGGGCACGCACTCTCCGTGCCGAAACTGCAGTCTGCACGTCACACTTTGGCGCAGTGTGTGCACGTCGAGGTCGCTCCGCACGAGACACATGGGCTTACCTGCAGGTATACCGGCTCTATGGTGACAATATTCATGACTTTCAATAGCCCTTAGCCGTAAGCCGCGGGGCCGATCCCGTACACAGACAGATCATCTCATGCGCGATACGACCGGGCCCGAGGGACTTTGTGTCAAAATTGTTGCACTGTACTGTGACTGTACAATTGCTTGTGATAGGGTGAGTTTAAAAGCGATGTTGTGCGATGCCAAATTTTCGCGATATCTGGGAAATAAAAGCCTGACAAAGTTGTAAAACGGCCCATCAACGCAACCGGACGGGTTCAGGGTCGCGAATCGCGCTTTTTCCGCAATCTTAAGTGTTAAAAGACCACAATTAGGTTACACCATAACTCATCTTCTGCGTCTAATCAGCTGCAATGGTGAGGGCGACTTGCGTCGTTCCAGCTACCGCGCGGCCGGTAATGAGCGTGATATAACGGACGATATCGCGGCCGGGAGATGGTGGACCCTTTGCCAGGAACACAATGGATGGCAGGGCCGGTGAGGCGCCGCTGTCGAGATCTAAGCGCCCGCGCCGCCCGCGGCCGGCAGTTCCAGGCCAGTACGTCTCTACCAGGCGCGTCTGGGGCCGGTCAGAGCCCTGAGGCAGGAGCCCGCGGACGGTGTGACGTCAGTGCCCGCGGCGCCCAAGCAGGTTCACCAGTCTCATCAACTTGCAACTGCACATAGTAGCCAACTAATGGCACTAAAGCCAGGTCCCAGCAGAAATGGCCAGAGAGGAGCCTGATGAAACCAGCCGGTCGCACGAGGCGTCCAGGGTCGCCGGTGACTTGCATGCGCTAAATCACCTGCTCACGCCGGTTACTATGCACTATTGCACCATGCAGCGTACGGTGACAGGCGTGCACGTTTCATTAGTTTTTCTACGTTTAAGCATCTGCGATTTATGCTTTAGGCTGCATGCTCATAGTGACATCTCGCCTAGCAGGAAGCAAAAAAAAAAGTTTCTCAGCGTAAACAACGAATATAGATGCAGAAAAAAGCAGGGGACAAGCACAATACAATGCAAATTCAAAATGGAGAGCGATCGCCATTGGCCACGCTTTAACACTTTTGCAGGCAACTGAACTTATCTGTTGCTCTAGGACACGTATTTAAGTAGGGCACGTAACAGCAAAGCCCCACCTATTCACGCCGGAGTTTGCAACAAAATGGATGTATGTCCTGTGATCTAGTCCTGAAACGTGCATATTCTAATAAAAACAGCGAAACAGCCCGGCCCAAGTCACGCATGAAAAAAAAGGAAACCGCCAACCTATGTAGCTGACTTTTCTCTGATTCCAGTGACCCGGGAGTCGGCACGTCGACTCAGAATGGTGCGTCGCGATGACGGTGAACAGAGCGTGTCGCTGCTGGGCGGCCGCCGGTCACCGAGGGAGTACAGCGAGCACCAGGTCCGTCCGTCCGTCCGTCTGTCCGTCCGTCCGTCCGTCCGTCTGTCCGTCCGTCCGTCCGTCTGTGCGTCCGTCCGTCCGTCCGTCTGTGCGCCTGTCCGTCCGTACGTCTGTCCGTCCGCCCGTCCGTCTGTCCGTCTGACGTCTGTCCGTCTGTCCATCTGTCCGTCCATATTTGTTTCCTTGTTCGTCTGCTGATTATCTTAGCCATCCCCATTCCTTATTGCTTATTAGGATCAGTTAACCCGCGCCCTGCTGGGGGTCCTGGATTTCCACGCCCTGCTGGGGGGGGGGTTTGAACACCCCCCCTTGTAACTCGGCTCCTGGGCCACGTAGCGATACGCGGAAGGCGGCGTTCGAAAGAGCGTCAAAAATAATGACGAAATCACTTCGGTCAATTTTTTGATCAGGTCAAAGGTCAGGTCACCAGAGGTCATTGAAGGCAAAATTTCGCCGATTTCCAGGTCGAATGTCGAAAATTTCCAAGAAGCCAACGCATAACTCGGGAACCAATAGAGCTACAGCGCCGCGGAAAAGCGCATTTGATAGCCCTATTAACGCCCTTTCTGAGTAATTCTCTCAGATTTGACCTAACGTCAACGGTTTTGCCTGCAGGGGGCAAAAACTGCAAAAATAGCCGATTTTTTCGAAAACAGTTTTTCTGCAATAACGTTTGACCCAAGCCTTGTACGAGCTTACTTTTACCGGCATCGTGTTCCTCTCGTCAAGACGCATCGAATGAACTATGACTTGACCTTGAAAGGTCAACTTGAAAATTTGACCTCAGGTCAAGGTCATGACCTGACCGGAAAGGGTCATGTTGCATATCAGTCGATCCGTATCGTCGAGCTGAACACATCTAAGGCGTTTTCAGCGCTCTAGCATGCCTCTATCAAAAGTTATTTGCGAAAAATTGTTAGATACCATTCGTGACCTAAGATGACCTCAGGGCATAAACAAGGGTCCGGACACCATTTTCAAGTTCAGTGTGTCTAAACCACTTGTAATTCGGTGTTTGGGAGTGTTTAAATGTCTTTCATCCAAAGGAGGCGCATTTCAATTTTCTCCCATTGACTTATAATGGGGAGGTCGCAAAATTGACCTGACCTTAGGTCATCGATATCAAAATTCTGAGATATACATTTTGTACATGCTATTGCTCTTAGCAATCGCTGAAAGTTTCAAAGCGATCGGTCACTCGGTGTAGCTATGACAGACATTGAAAGTTTTTATGAGGTGAGGTCACTTCAAGTGACCTGGTGACCTGACCTTGAATGACCTTGGTCTGAAATTTTCACAACATGTGTAGAATTGATGTATGATAAGGTGTACCAAAAACGGCGGCGCTCCGCGCCGCCGTTTTTGAGATATTCGCGAAAAACCACAAGGGGGGGTGTTCAAACACCCCCCCAGCAGGGCGCGGGTTAAAGGGACTATCCCACCTCCTAAAATGTTGTTAAAACCAGTTAAATTGTGCCCGACTTTATAGATTGGATGACCAGGAACACGGTTCTGGCATTTATTTTTCATTAAACATCTTAGGCTTCCCATATTCCAAACACAAACTTTCAAATATGTGACGTCACAGCCCAAAATTACCTCCTTCCCCAGGCCACATTACTGTCATAAAGCTGATTCTTTTTACTCTGTAGGCACCACAACAAAGTTCAGACCAAGTTTTAAGCGATTTTTCAACGAACAAACCCATTTAAATCAAAATGACTAAACGAGGTGACGTCACACTAACGGTCGCTCCATGTTGAAGATAGGGCCTTGTACAAGGCCCATTTTCAAATGAAGGGAACGAATTTCTTCAACACCAAGAGGCCGCGGGGGTTGCAACCTAGATAGATAGTGGTTTCTGAACCTCGCCGCAAACTTGGCTATCTCAACTCAAACCCCATGTTAAAGGTGGGATAGTCCCTTTAAGGTTGCTTAGTCCACTCAATAAAAGAGATGTTGAAATCAGGACTGAACTACAATATAAAATTCACTTCTTTTAATCAGTCTCCTTCGATGATAAGAGTGCAGTTATAAAAAACATCGTAATTTGTGGCACAAAAAGGCTCGTTTGGCAGCGAGATCTGTGAACGCCTTCACACGCCTGTCGCGTGTCGGACCAGCGCGCTCTCGCTGTCCACTGTCCAGTGTCCACGTTCGTATCTATCTGAGCTGGTCGCTGTCTCCCTCTCCCTCGTTCCAAGCGATAGCCAGTAGTGGTTGGACTGATCAGTCTCGGCGAGCGGCCGTAGGTATTCTAACGAGCGCGCCGCGCGCCGGGTGATGGTCCCGGCGTGTCTGAGCGGCGACCCTCAGTGAACCCTCCCCCGACCTGATCTCGGCGGGCGTGTGACGAACGGGCGCCGCCGTCTGCCGCAGCGTCTGCTGGAGACGGAGCTGAGCCGCGAGTCGGCCGGCTACGGCGCCGTGAAGCCACTGTCGCCACTGCCCACCGGCGGCGTCACGCTCACATGGCACGATGTAAACGTCTACGTGCCCGACAAGAAGAACAGCAGCGTCTTCAGCAGCTGCCAGTCGGAGGCGCCCAAACTGAAACGGGTGCTCAACAATGGTGAGTACGGGCGTGCTCTGCCACACCTCTGCTTGAAAACGCTTCTGATATTCAACTTTGTGTACTGTCCATGAAACTAAAATCCTCTATCTACATGCCTACCTGTGATTCAGTTAGCTCTTGTAAATGTTGACTTAAGCCCGAACCTCATATCAACCTACTTTCTGTTCGCATTTATCCTCCGTGCAGTATATTGTTCTACGTTACCCCGGTCGTGACCTCCGCCCTGTGTGCCTTGCGGCAGTGTACGGCGCCGTGCTGGCCGGTAACCTGGTGGCCGTCATGGGATCCAGGTGAGTCCGATAGCGAGCCGCGCCCTGCGGTCTCGGCTGGCCCGGCCCGCGCCGGCCGGACGCCGGGCTGGGTGGGACCCCCGCCGGGGTGTGGGTCAGCTGTAGCCGGCGTGCGGTCCGGACTTCCCGCACACAGATCGAATATCGGTGGGGACGGGACCCTGATATCGGTCACGCGCTGCGCTTCCTTCCCGGCCCCGCCGGAGGGAGGGTCTGAACATCATGGCAAGGTTTATAGAGATAGTATATCAATGGAACAACCAGTTCGTGACAGGAGAAAGACGTTTAAAAATGAATCCACGAGTCAAGTGCTGATTCCCACACGTCAAGTAGGCTCCGTTCTGAGGCCCGATAATAAATAGTTTGATTGTGTTGAAATGTGATTGATTGATGGGCATACAGGCGATCAATTTCCATATGTCAAACTAGGGTATCACTGCACTGCACTGCGCACGTGCATAACCTGTTAATATGTCAGCAACGGCTGGACTGCAATCACGCTAACGCGTGGCA